CTGGCGAAACGTTAGGAAACAAAACTTCCAGAACACGGCCACGCAGCCCGGAAGACCCACATCAGCCATCGTATTCAGGCCGTGAAAGCCTTCGACAATACAACAAGGTATTCAATTTCTGATTTGTTTACAATGAACCCCATATCTGAATGTTCTGTCCATTTAAGTGGATGAGGAGACTACCATACATGCTAATATGTAAATGTTTCCAGGCCAGTGTAACCAGAATACAAGATACTAGGTTTGGGATGAAATCCAATATAATCCTCCTGCTATCTTCTATGTCCTCTATCTGCTCTGGAGGATTGGAGGATCCACCAGATCAGATTTTATGTGTGTGTTAAGTCTTGTAAGCAGAAGAGGGAAACTTGATCCTCCAATAGTATCCATTCTGCTAGTGGAAGTATAATCCATTTTTACTCTTTTCCTTGGATTCGTATGTTTTATGATATTGGTTGAATTGGGCAATACTGAGAGCTGCAGACTCTAAAAAGTCTCTTTTTCCTTTGCAGAGCATGGAGGTAAACAGCACAACAGCTGTAGAAACTCTATACAACAGCCCAAGTGGAGATCTTCTGACAGCCAACTACAGCCTTGCCCCATCCACCCCTATTAACCAGAATGTCAGCCTGCATCAGGCGTCGCTGGCTGGCTGCACACAAGACTTCCCTTCCCTGTTCAGCTCTGAAATTGAAAGTCCCTCAGTGGCTGGTGGCTCAGCTTTGTTGCAGCTGGTTCCTGATAACTCCACTGGCTTCAACACCACATTTGGCTCTACCAACCTAAGTGGAATCTTTTTCCCTCCTCAGCTAAACTGCACTGTAAATGAAACATCTGGGCCTGAACTCCCAGATCCTCTTGGAGGGCTCCTGGATGAAGCCATGCTAGATGAGATTAGTTTAATGGATTTGGCTATTGAAGAAGGCTTCAATCCAGTGCAGGCATCCCGCTTGGAAGAGGAATTTGATTCAGACTCAGGGCTCTCCCTGGACTCAAGTCACAGCCCTGCTTCTCTCAGCAGCTCAGAAGCATCATCATCCTCTTCAGCCTCTTCCTCCTTTTCTGAGGAAGGAGCTGTTGGCTACAGTTCTGACACTGAAAATGTGGACTTTGAAGATGCAGAAGGAGCTGTTGGGTATCAGCCAGAATATAGCAAGTTCTGTCGGATGAGCTACCAGAATCCTCCTCAGTTGCAGTACCTGCCTTATCTTGAGCATGTGGGTCACAATCACACATACAACATGGCCCCTAGGACCTTAGACACTGATGAGTCCCAGCCAGCTAGTGTGGGAAAGAAGAGTTCCAAAGAGAAGCAGGCAGATTTTCTAGATAAACAGATGAGCAGAGATGAACATAGAGCTCGAGCCATGAAGATTCCTTTTCCCAATGAAAAGATCATCAATTTGCCAGTAGAGGAATTCAATGAACTCCTGTCCAAGTATCAGTTGAGTGAAGCACAGCTGAGTCTAATCCGTGATATTCGCAGAAGGGGTAAGAATAAGATGGCAGCCCAGAATTGTCGTAAGAGAAAGCTGGACACTATCCTCAATCTGGAGCGGGATGTAGATGATTTGCAGAGAGACAAGTCAAAGCTGCTCAGGGAGAAGGTGGAATTCCTCAGGTCTATCCGCCAGATGAAGCAAAAGATGCAGACCCTCTACCAGGAGGTATTTGGTCGTCTGCGTGATGAGAATGGCCAGCCCTATTCCCCAAATCAGTATGCTCTACAGCATGCCAGTGATGGCAGTGTTATTCTAATACCACGCTCCTTGGCTGACCAGCAGGGGCGGCGTCAAGAGAGGAAACAGAAAGACAGGAGGAAGTGAAAGATGATGGATATCATTAGGAAAGCATAAAACTTGCTGAATCTGCAACTTGGAGAAGGGCTGAGCCCAGAAGAATTTGGAGGAACTTTCATGCCTTCTTATCCAATATATCTTCTCAAACCATGATAGCTGCCAGCCAGTGTATAGGAGCAGACTGCTGGGCAGGGGGCCTACAAGTCTTGAGAGGCAGAATGGCAAAGCATGTTGGGAAAGACCTGTGCTTCCAGAAGCCTCAAACCAATTGAACATTATGAGAGTATGAATTAGCTGGCATAATGTGTGTGGGGGGAGGGGGGAAAATCTCAGCAGAGGATAGAAAATTTGAATTGTTAAGCTGGCTTTTTGTAAAGGAAGAAAGGTTAAATGGATAGATTGAGGAGACCTAAGAGTATTTTTTTTCTTTGACTTTCCAAGTCTTGGGTATTTCAGGTAGCTGGTTGGATTTTTTTTAACTAGTTTGACATCAATTGTATGCAGTTCAAAACCATGCCTAAATCCTAATACTTAGCCATGATCTCTTCCTAGATCTGTATGTACGTAACTACAGAGGAAACACAGAAAATTGTGTGTACTTAGGAGAGAAGAGAAACATTTTCCCTCGAGCTGAAAGAGTTTTCCATTCAAGGAATGTATATGTGCTGCCATTTTGAACTTCAGCATTTATCATAAATGCTGGTTGGATTTTTTTTAACTAGTTTGACATCAATTGTATGCAGTTCAAAACCATGCCTAAATCCTAATACTTAGCCATGATCTCTTCCTAGATCTGTATGTACGTAACTACAGAGGAAACACAGAAAATTGTGTGTACTTAGGAGAGAAGAGAAACATTTTCCCTCGAGCTGAAAGAGTTTTCCATTCAAGGAATGTATATGTGCTGCCATTTTGAACTTCAGCATTTATCATAAATGTTTGGCAGGGTAGGAGTGGAAAGGGTTAATAGAATTACTACAGTAATGCATCTTTATCATCCCCTCACCAATTGAAAACTTGCTAAAGATGTCACTTGCTCACAGTGAGGAGCCACCATTAATCCTGGGCCACTATCAAGATGCATTACAACATGATGGCGCATGGTAAAATTGCATGTTACAAAGCTGTCTTTTTCCATTGACTGGCTTAGAGAGACTGCTTTGGGTGAAGGGAGGTTTAGGGCCAAAGGTGTAGATCTTCATTTGATTAGAGTCTGCAAGGTGGAAATCTGGTGAGTGACCATCACCATTTGGTCTACAGCACAGTGGGTTTTGCTTCTGTTAAGCGGGCATGCTGTGTTGAGAGCCATCTGCAGCAAGCCTCTTTTTGAATGGGCACTTTGATTTTAATTTATTATGGTTTTAGGACTCTGTGTTCCTGTGTTGTTTCCGCTCCCCTGTAGGGCTATAGAATGAACTTAGAGTATGCATGTAGGAAAGAAGGGCGGTACTTCCCCTGAAGATCAAAGCTACTGAAAGTTCTTTCTGCCATAAAGACTCAATGTGTTAACTGTGAATCCACAGCTGGCTTCCCTTCTGTCCTTGGGTGTCATTCCAATTTCCCCCTTCCCCCCATTGAAAAGAAAATAAGGCGAAGGGTGAGGGTAGTGCCTTGAACACAGCTAGCCTCAAACTCTGAGGCCATCCCCGAAGCTGTTAACTTGCAGTATAGCACAGCTGGGAGTATTACTGACTTGACCAGCAACTGTAGAGCTAAATGGCTTTGGTTTTTTCCCAGCCACTCAGTCCTGTGTATGTGATGATGTGTGAGGGCATAACACTGAAATGGGCATCCTCCTGAGGATTGTAGAGAGATGATGCATTGTTTAAGTGGTATAAAGCAATGTTTGCAAACATATGAGTTAGTTTAGTTTTGTTTGTGGTTTTTTTTTTTTTTTAAGGCCATGACTTTTTCCAGGAAAAACATGAGAGTGGATAAGAAGTAAATTAATGTAGTCTTTTCCATTTCTCGTGCTTTTGGGATTAACAGCATGAAACTTGAAGCACAAAATGTGTTGGAGCTGTGACTAGTTGTTGGATGGATAGGATGGAGCCCTGATGTGTGCATGTGTTAATTTATTTCTGAGGTTTTATTTTGAATGGTTTCTATGATCTATTGGGAAAGTGAGGAGAGAGAGAGTGCGAGCACAGGACAAAAATAAAATGGCTTATTCACTATTTGAACATTTGTTTTGTGTGTCTTTTTTCCCAGGACTAAACCCCACTATATCTTTATAGCTCAGACTACTCTTCTGTAGGCTGATGGAACTCTGCTGTCTTAAAATAAAAGACATTATCACAATGAATACACAAATGGCTATTAGCTATGATAATAGTACAAAGTGCCTCTGCAGTAATTAAAACTTTCCTTTTGTGAAATGACTCTTGTATACCCTTCAAGGCCATGAATGAGGAAGAATCTGATGTTTAGTCTCTTGCAATGTATACAGATTGGTTTGGGATATTTTCCTTTAACAAACTGTGTAAAGCGGCATGTACTGCTTCCTCATACTTGTACTAAGAGATAACTACTACACAGCTGTATGAGAAAACAGGTGAAAAGAAGCAAGTTTAGCTGGAGACAACTGATTGAAAAACTTCTTGCAAGGATTATATAAAAGGATGTGCAGCGAAGGGGTCTTATAAGCTTGAGTTTAAGCATTAGGCAGACATGTTATTCAAATGTTATGGGTAGAACAATGCATTTTCATAAGGTAGCATTCATTAAGGAAACTACTTGTGTAGTAAGTTGTACAATACATATATTGTATTTAGCCCCCATAAAAGGGCTGTTGAAATAATTTGGAATAGTGTCTGGCTAATCAGTGGTAGATGGGAGGAATGGTAGTTTTGGTAACTAAAAGAATCATATTGAGGTAATTAGTACCTGCACATAGTTAGTAATTTCCTTACTCTTAATTACCATAGAACTGCAGCTCAGGCTTTCAACCAGACTGGTACAGTGTAGCACTGTTTCTGATTATGATGTGGAGGCTACAAGAAAACAAATACCAACCTGAAACCATCTTCTATGGTGCTAGTGGGCTATAGCAATGTGTACTGGGGAGAGGGGGGCTTTTTCAGTAAGGCATTCAGGCCCCTCCTTTAGAATGTTTTATCTAGTGAATTTACTTCCATGTAAGTTGTTTGCAAAAATTAATGTGGTAAAGTGAAAATGGAGCTAGTCTAGTGGTTAAGGCACCAGGCTAGAAAGGAGATTGAGTTCTAGTCCCACCTTAGGCATGAAAGCTGGCTGGGTGATTTTGGGCCAGTCACTCTCTCAGCCCAACTCACCTCACAGGGCTGTTGTGGGGAAAATAGGAGGAGGAAGGAGTATAAGGTATGTTCGTCACCTTGCGTTTTTATAAAAAATAATAAAGGCGGGATAAAAAAATGTAAAAAAAAAAAATTGGTACAGTACTCTGAAAAATCTGAGCTAGCCAAGAACTGAAAAAGGATGCTCTGTCTTGGATTGTTAAAAAGGATTATCACAAAATTTTGAGTCCTGCCCATGGAACAAGTGGAAGGAACAACCCATTTTCAGAATTCCTTTGTTCACAATAAAATTTATTGTAAAAATAGCCTGCAAATGATAAAGATCTCCATTCCTGGCTCCTAACTTTGTTTTGCACTTTTAAAAAAGCTAATGTTGACACTGGAGTACTGCACCTAAGGATGTTATATGTGCATTACTTTCTTCTCCAATTTTAACATTGTACCTGTAGATGCTCCAGATCACAATTCCCATTTTCTTAGCCGGGGTCATCCACATTTTCAATTCAGTGTGTACCCTCACCAGCATGCATTATTGGACCACCTGAGTGGAAAGGCAAATATTAAGAACGTTTTAGCATAGCTTTGCTGAATCTTATTGACAATTACCTATGGCTAGTTCCTAGGGAAGCCAGATATTCTTGTGTCCTATCATCATATACTTTACAGGTGTAATATTCCCTTCATTTAACCCCATTAACTTTCATGATACTTACAGAACTGGTTCACTAGTAGGCATGAAGAACTGTTACAATATTAACATTCTCAGTTCTCTTGTTCAATTTGTTGCATGACAGCAAGATGGGTTAGCATAGACGTGGTTTGGATACAAACCATGTGTACATTTGCCTTTCCCCCATGACTCAGGCAGGCTCTGTTCTTTGCTATTGCCATTTAAGAAAAAAATACAGATACAACAAAGAGACCTTACTAATGCTTTAAGATTATGGCCTCTCCTTGCTTGCTCTACTAGCTTTAACTTTCATTTTATTCTTCCAGGTCATTTTCAGACCTCCTTGGGGGGCTTACAAGTAGTGTATTTAGCTACTTGTAACAGGTTATTCTTAGTTTATTCCAGAGGAAGTGCCACAAGAAGCTGGTAATTAAAATAAAAAATAGAGAAGGGCAGTTACAACAAACTCACACTTTAGTTAATACATGAGTAATACAGATGCTACTCAAATAACTAAAGGCAAGGAAGAAAGGATGAGAAATGTGTGGCATGTCTTAGCTTTAAGATGCTTTGGACCTCTTCTACAAAGAGGTTTGCAGTAGGCTGAAAAAGGCATTCTGTCACCCCATATCTAAGCAGCAGGACCTACAGGATACAATTCTCTTAAGTGTTGTATACAAAGTCACCTATGACCTTGTACAGTACAGTGTCATGAACAAATTTAAAACAATGAAATCTTCCCTAAATCCTAGATTCACTTCCCATTATGTAATATTTGCAAGGAAGACCTTGCTTAGAGGGAGAGGAAAAAGAAAGGTCAGGATTATAAATCTAAAATTTTATTAAGACAAAAAGACAGTTCAGTATGAAGTTAAAATCCAAACACTTAAGTTTTAGACAACATTTTCACAGAAGCCTAACACATGCTTTATTTTAAAAAAGATTTGTACAATACAGTTCTACGTACATACTGCCTTGTGAAGGAGTTGGTGGCTTACTAGGATTTGAGCAAATTCAGAGGTAAAATTATGTCCTTTGTAAAAACAGAAGTCTATTACATTAAAATAAAATCAGTGGAGGGCCAAGACAAGGAAAGAATCCACTAATGCCCAGGTCTAACAAAGTTAATTGTTTACAGAATATTCTGCAACTTTTGTGCTGTAGGAAAGTAGATTTTACTCCTGCTTCCCCCCACATGCTTTATTTTAAAAAAGATTTGTACAATACAGTTCTACGTACATACTGCCTTGTGAAGGAGTTGGTGGCTTACTAGGATTTGAGCAAATTCAGAGGTAAAATTATGTCCTTTGTAAAAACAGAAGTCTATTACATTAAAATAAAATCAGTGGAGGGCCAAGACAAGGAAAGAATCCACTAATGCCCAGGTCTAACAAAGTTAATTGTTTACAGAATATTCTGCAACTTTTGTGCTGTAGGAAAGTAGATTTTACTCCTGCTTCCCCCCTGCCCCATTTTGATTCTCAAGTTCACGTACATACAGAAAAGTAAAAAAGTAATAAAAATCCTAGTTCTGTGGGAAGGGAAAATTAAAAGGACTCAGAAAAGAAAGAAATGTTATTTATTTTAGGACAAGTTGTCCCCAGTTCAACTACAGGGTCTAAATTTTCCTCTTTTCTAATTTTAAATGTGTGACAAAAACTCTTGTATTAGCTGCATTCATGATTACAGTCTCAACTGTTAATGCTAACATTTAAAGACACATTTGCTCCAGCATTTCAATTAAGAGTAATCTATTTTACTTGCAGTAAGACACTGGGTTTTTAATTTTTTTTTAAAGAATTATGATTCTGGCTATAGAATACTGTGAACCACTCTCTCAAATCAGTTGGAACATACCCTCCCTTCCCACCCCAACAATACACGAATAATAGCAAAAAAAATAAAAATAAAACCTACACACACATGCTAAGCTGTAAAAACGCAGTTAACACTATTTGGGAGAAAGGCTGCAAATTTCAGGTGATCTTTACAGAACATGCCACCTCCACTTGCTGTTTCTGTTGGTGGCCTGTCCAATACCCAGACATACTTAGTTCTACCTGGAGGAACCTTCATTTCTCTAATCAAGGTAAT